CCCTGGGATGGAGGCAGCCACCGTGGCTGTGAGGGACAGATCCAGGCAGCCGCTATGGCTATGAAAGTCAACTCTTGCACAAATTTTGTGCATCAAGCCTCTAGTAACTTTATAGGTATTTACTATGTGCCTGATCATATCCTTAGGGTAATACGTATACTAACTCGATTAATCTATAAACCCTTCATAACAGGTTTTATTAATATCATTTTTACAAATAAAGAATGGAAGCAGAGAAGAGAGGTTACGTATCCAAGGTCACATAGTAAGAGGTGATCCAAGAAATGAACCAAGGCAATCTGGTTCTCTTATGCTACACCCCAGTTGATAGTCATGATGGACTACTTTTTATACTTATTTATCTCTTTTTAAGTGTATTATTTATTCTTACCTTTCCTAATTCCTTGTTTTATATATCTGTTTGTATTTCCTGCATTTTCTACACCATTTTGCATATATTGATAGGGATAAAAGAACTCAGTGAGTGCAGGATTTTTAATGTATAAAACAATGTGTAAATATATATATAAAGTGCCAAGCAATCAGAACGACCAAAACAACCAATCACGATGACGAGCACTGCAATGGCCAACTCCTGAGGCCCCTCCCCCTGGCTGGCCCTGCCCCAATTGGCCCCCTCACCACGATTGGGGGCAGGGCCAGTGGCTAACCTCCCATGGCCTATTCCACCCCTCCTCCCCCCGCCGGCCTGGCTCTGATTGACCCCCATCGGGGCAGGCGGCCAGACCTCACCCATGCACAAATTCCTGCACTAGGCCTCTAGTATATCTATAATTTCTATGGTACTTATAATAATTTTGTCAAAATAAATTAGACAACTTTGTAATTCTAACAGCAAAAATAGTAAGATGACGACCCAGAAGGATTAATGCAGTTTTCAAAACTAACTTATTAGAGCCACAAATTCTCTGAGCCACATGTTATATAAATCAACTCAAAGAAACTATAGTTTATGACTTGAAACTCACCATAGAGGTAACTTAGGTGCAGTTACACCTAACTGTGGTATTTTAGATTAAGTATTCAACACTTCTGAGTCTCAATTTACTCATCTTTAACACGGAAATGAGTAATAAAATGTGTCCTTTTTCCTCTCAGTGTCTTTAAGAATCAAGTTAAATGAGGCTATGAAAGCCCTTTCTAAGCAGGAAAAAACACACCTATGCAAAGCATTTCTAAATATAGAACAAGGAACAGGCATGTGTAAACGTGTGAGGCATTAATATCAATGGACTATTATTAACACCCAGCAGGATAGTTTGGAAAACATGAACTTTTAGGTTGGAAAGACCTGAATTCAAGTTCTCATTCTGCCATTTACTGGCTGAGGGACCTTGGGGATGTTGCTTAAACCTATTTCTGAGCCTCGGTCTTTTTAATTATAAAATGAAGAAAATAATACCTACCTAGCAGGTTACAACATGGAAGAAGCACGTGGTGCATGGTAAACACAACAGATTTTATTCTGTGCCCTTATCCTGATAATATTAGTTAATTTACTTAGGACACATCAGGGAAGTTACATCAGTCCTTCCAGAGTTTACTATGAAGAAATCAACATATAGAAAGATTAAATGTATTTAGTTTTCATTAAACTCTATTAAATGCCTACCACTCTTTCCGGGTGATTAGGAGAGGATCTAGAATTTTATATTCCCTGCCCTGTAGATCAGTCAGAGGTTCTCATCCGGTTGCCAATCTGGTGAAAGCTACAACACCTCTCTCCAAAGACAGGTACAAAACTTGTAGGAGACATACAAGAGATGCAGGACAGTGGTCGGCAAACAGCGGCTCACGAGCCACACGTGGCTCTTTGGCCCCTTGAGTTTTTAGCAAACACCAGCTTAGGAGTACCCTACTTAACAGCAATGTACCTACCTATATAGTTTTGAGTTTAAGAAATTTGGCTCTCAAAAGAAATTCCAATTGTTGTACTGTTGATATTTGGCTCTGTTGACTAATGAGTTTGCTGGCCACTGATACAGGAGAATATCTTCATGACCCAGGGGTAGGGAAAGCATTACAAAGGGAGAGTGAGGAGAGGAGGGACACTCTGAAGAAAAAGATTCATAAATATACCTACATTAAAATTAAGGACTTCTACATCAAAAGAGACCCTAAAAAAAATTTCAGGAATAAGCCACAGAGTGGAAGATATTTATTATAGTAATACAATACATGCAATAATAATAATAATAATAGTAATAATAATAAAGGTGAGATTCCTGTGTAAAGAATTTCAACAAATCAATAAAACATGACAGGCCAAAGTGTGATACTGTATATATACAACGAAAATGAACTACAACTGCATTTAACAATGTGCATTTAACTGCATTTAACAAATTTTACATACATAATTTTGAGTGAAAAAAAAAAGCATGACACTAAAGAATAGGTACAGGAATATTCCACTCATGAACTTGTAAAATGGATAAAATGAAATAATATTGTATAGAGGCGCATATGTTGTGCATATGCATACAAGGTAAAACTATACAGAAGAACAAGGGAATAAATATCACAACAGTCAAAAAAGTGGAGTGACAGGGATCAGAGTCTGCTTCTAGATTACTGACAATATTCCTTCTTGACCTGAGCACAGGTTACAGGCTTTACAGGCACATTGTTTTACTGAGTTCCATTTACTTTATTGTGCTTCACAGGTGTTGCATTGAAGGGAAGACCCTCCACCAGCAAAAAGATACGACTCCCTTTATTGCGGTTGTAGAACCAAACCTGCAATATCTGAGGTACCCCTACCTTTTGTAATTTGTAAGTTTTATATGCTATTCTGAATGTACATTGCAAAAAATGACCAAATACACTTCCCACCACCACACCGAACGCTAGCAGGGAGAGAAGGAGTTCAGACTCCTTCAGGCCTCTAAACACCAAATTTATGGTGTCAAGCTACATGAGATCCAAGAAAATAATCTTTAGGTTGTAAAGTGGTGGGGGAAGAAGGGAGTGATGAGAATAGAAAAAGTGCAGGCCTCCGGGTCAGTTCATCCTCTCACTTAGAGAACTTGTAGCACAGACATAGGGAACAAATGCCCAAGCTTGGTAAGGAATGCGATGGTGCCTGAAAAACATAGTAACTAGTGAGGGGATGGAGGAGCACAGCTTGTCAGAAAATGTAATCTATTAAATAACATATCCCAAACCGGTAATTGCAAGCTGAACCTTCTCCCTTCCCCCTTTAATGGAGACAGGGCATGCTAAATGGTGAGAAACTACAAACACCGATTTCTGAGTGAAAAAGTATACCATGTCGCGTCTCAGCAAAATACTCTCGCAGAACTCAGAAAGGCCTCCATCAGCCTTGGGAAATGAAGGAACTGGTAAAAACAAGTTACAAAAACACCACTTCCACTAGCCTTGAAATAAATACACATATTGCACCTGAATGATAAGCCTACACCTGGATCATAGGAGTCTGACCTCCAACACAGACAACTCTTCTCAGCACAGTCCCACCCTGGAGAGAGGGAAGCTCAATAGGACTCCACGGTAGCCTACACTGTCCAATAGGAGTACACCTTTGTAAATTTCCAAACTGTATTCCTGCATAAAAAAATATTTACTTATTTTCCATTATTTCATGAGGTCTGGATTTATACTGAACAAAACTATCATTTTCCAAACGGATGGTGTCTGATAGGTTATTTTGATTTAAAAAAAAAAAAAAGTCCTAGTAATGGGCCTACGGAATTATTTTTAAGTTTCCAAGGGTATGAAGTTGACCATTTCCTCATACTACACTCAAATTCTTTCTTTTCATCCTATTCTCTATCTCCCGTCTGTTCCCCTACAGACGTACAACTTCTCTTAAATTTCTCCACGACTTGAGAAAGAGGCTTTCAGGAAGGTTCTCCTCTCCACCTTTCTCGCACCTCCCTTTTGTAGTCAATTCCCCTAGGTCTGTTCTCTCTTTTCAGATAACTGGCTTATCCAGTTGGAACCAAACGCCAAAGAATTTCCCCTCTATTATGTCTGACTGAAAAGCTGCGGGGGGGAGGGGGGGGCCCCGCAGAGAGAAGGGGTGTGGATCTGTACTCCTACACTTCGGCACGAAACTATGAATCCATGCCGCCTTTGTGCACCCCCCCCCAAAAAAAAAATAATAATAATAAAAAGTAATTTCAGCCGGCACCGGTTTGGCTCAGAGGATAGAGCGTCGGCCTGCGGACTGAAAGGTCCTGGGTTCGATTCCGGTCAAAGGCACGTACCTTGGTTGAGGGCACATTCCCAGTGGGGGGGTGTGCAGGAGGCGGCTGGTCGATGATTCTCATCGATGTTTCTAACTCTATCCCTCTCTCTTCCTCTCTGTGAAAAATCAATAAAATATTTTCTTAAAGTAATTTCAGGCCCAGGAATGATTCTCGGTCCAAATGGATCGCCTTCTGGAATGCCATATCCTGCAGCATTCACAACATAACACAACTCTAAGGCAAGCCCCGCAGGAAACCGGCGCGCTCCGCAGGCAGTGGGGGCACGGAGGGGAGTCGCGGGTCCGAAGTTCAGAGACACCGAAACCAGACGAGACGCCCAGCGCGCGCGGTTCGACCTGGTGGCGGCAGCCCAGGCAGAACCGGGTCTCTGACTCACCAGGAGAGAACTCATCCCCTGGGCCACCAGCCCCAGGATTTCGCGTGCGCATGGAAAAATTTGTAGTTTGGGCTCCCGGGCCCTGGCAGGTAGAGAAAGAGAGAGAGAGAGAGAGACCTGTGTGGATTTCCTCGGGCTCCGCCCCGAAAGTGAGGATGGGGATGGAAAAGCCATTCTCCCTCCTTCTCTCATCTCCAAGAGTGCGGGTGCCCTCCAGGCGGGTGCGTTGGTGGGGGAGCCGCTACTGCCTTCCAGGGCAGGACCTGAGCGGCCCCAGGGTGCCCAGCCCTCGGCCCTGCTCTCCCCCGATCGCGCCCCTTCCCCACCCCCTCGCCCCCCGCCTCGGGTGCGCTCCTCCCGCCTCTCACCTGCAGCCGGGTGGCCCGCGAGCGCCCGGCCCCGGGCGCGGCGCCCCAGCTCTTCGTCCTCGTCCTCCCACCGCCGGCCCTCAGCCATGGGCGAGGCGGGGCGCCGGGCGCAGCTGCGGGACGAGCACCGAGGGCCCCCTCGCCAGCTCCCTCGGGGCCTGGAAGGAGGCCCCGGGGAAGCAGTGGCAGCGCCTTGGGGCTGCGGGATCGGCGGGCGCTGCTGCGGGCTCCACCTGCAGCCGGCGGGGCAGCTGGCGGGGCACCCGCGCCGCGATCCTGGCTCCCCGGTTCCCCGCCTCCTCCTCGCAGCGCGCCCGGCCTCTGTCTCCCAGCTTTCGCTGCTCTCCCACTCTCTTCCCCCTTCCTCTTCCCCTTCTCCGCCCCTCGGACTTGGAGCCGGGACCGGGGCGGGCTCCGGCTGGGCCTCGCCTCCTCGGGGAGGGGTTACCCGCCGCCACGGAGGACGCCCCACAAGCCGCGCACACGCTGGGAACCACCTGCTCGCTGGACCCAAACAAACGCGTGCAGAATCCATAAACAGGGGGGGTATGGGGGAGGTGGCCTGGCCTCTTCCTGACCTTTCACAGTATTCCGGTGTCAACAGGAAACCCATTTGCTTGACACTTACACAAAAGGAGGAGAAGGAGGAGGAGGAGGAACCTGCCCCTAGCGGGACTAGGAGAGATGGGACAGCTGGGAGCAGCTGAGCAGTGGGAACAAACTTAGCTTGAGAGTTTGGTTGAGACGGAGTAATTTTTTTTTTTTTCTTTCCCACTCTTTTTCGCCCTTTAAAAAATCGAGCCTCGCCAGAGCACAGAGGATATTTTTAGGGCAGGGAGCCTACTCTGTAGGATAGCATAATGGTGGGTGCAGATGACTATACGGTCGTTCAAACCCATAGAATGTGCAAGGTCAAGAGTGAAATCCAATGTTAACTGAAGACTTTGGGTGTTGAGATAGGTTCCTCAATTGTAGAATGGACCACTGTGTGGGGGAATGTGGATCATGGGTGAGACTGTGCATGTGTGGGGCAGGGGTTATATGGGAAATCTCAGTCTTCTGCTCAGTTCCTAAAACTTCTAGAATGTAAAGTCTATATTTCAAATATTTTAAATTTAAAAATGTATTTTTAAAAAATGGTTCCAATCCCAATAAGAAAATGTACTTCAGCCGAAACCGGTTTGGCTCAGTGGATAGAGCGTCAGTCTGCGGACTGAAAGGTCTCGGGTTCGATTCCGGTCAAGGGCATGTACATTGGTTCCGGGCACATCCAGTAGGAGTTGTGCAAGAGGCAGCTGATTGATGATTCTCTCTCATCGATGTTTCTAACTCTCCCTCTCCCTTCCTCTCTGTAAAAAATCAATGAAATATATTTTTTAAAATGTACTTCAGCCCTAACCAATTTGGCTCAGTGGATATAGAGCGTCGGCCTGCGGTCTGAAGGGTCCCAGGTTCAATTCTGGTCAAGGACCTTTGTTACGGGCACATCTCCAGTGGGGAGTGTACAGGAGGCAGCTGATCGATGTTTCTAATTCCTATCCCTCTCCCTTCCTCTCTGTAAAGACATCAATAAAATATATTTAGAAAAAAAATGTACTTGAGGATCCTGAACCTGATTATTTGCAGAAAGGCCATTTGGAGAAGTGGCAGGAGCACTGGCTTCTGGAGTCAGAAGCTAGAATTTGAAGCACGCAGCTGTGAGATCTGCCCCTGTGGAAGCTTTCCCATGCTGAAGAACATTGCGAGAAAGCTGTTGTGAACCTGTTCTCAATAGCACACATTTTAGGTTCAGCACTTGCACCCACACAGAGAGGCAGATTCTGGAACCTCAGAGAAAGATAACCAAGCAGCAAACAGGAACACTGTCTGGACATGAACCCATAGGAACAACGCCAGGGGCAGAACAGGCCTTTATTTTCAGCCTCTTGTTCTATTTCTGAGAGACTGTGAGAGTTACCAATGTTCAACATGTAAGAGAGAACAAGAGAGGAGAAAGAGGGGTCACTGAAAATAGAATTGCCTGCCATACCCGAGTGGGGTTTCTTTGTGTGAATGAAAGGAGCCACACGCTAACCTGACAAGCTCAGGGGAGCCTGGGTGGCAGTCTTGCAAACTCAGAGACCTAAAATAACCACAAAAGATGGTTTGAAAATTAAATATTTTAACTACAAACAGGTTATAGGGGGTAGTCAAGTCCTAGGCCGATATTTTCCCAGACAAGGATCAACTTCGATCTTCTTTTCTGAGCCCATTTGCCTTTTTTGCCTCTAAGATAACATATCTATGAGATGTCTGGGTAACTTGTAACTTCCCTTTTTCTTGAGCCCCTGGGGCACAACCAAATGTGGTGGACACCAGGACAGATGCCTCAAATTCCTTCGTTATCTGTTAATTGTTCCTGCACTCACCTGAGTACCCGTCCATCATTTTACTTTTTATCCAACCCAGGGGTTTCCCACCGCTTTGCTTTCTCCCGCCTCCTTAATCCATCACCAATGAATTTCATGGAACCCACCTATGTCCCTCCTTTGATTTCAGTGTATAAATAGAAATGTAACCCGCCATTCTTCAGAGCATTATCTCAATCTGTTGAGGTTCTGCTTCCCAGCCTGCATCGGCAGTTTGGCTCAAATAAACTCACAAAAATTCTTTACAGGTTTCAATGTGTTTTTTTTTTTTTTTTTTTTTTGGTTAACATTTGCCTTTTGCAATAATGGTGGTAGAGGCCTGAAAAAAATCTTTCTGTTTTTAGGCAGATAAGAGCCCCAATCGATTTTGTGGAATTGAGGTAAAATCCACAGTGAAAACTTTATTAACTGATAAGCAGTTAAATGAGTAGACATCTGGAGAACTTGAAATTAAGATAGAGGGGAAGAAAAAAGGGTTCTAGACCTTTAGGGTTACTTTAAGTGTTTGGGTTCACTATTAAGTGAAAGCATATTTGTTAACCTTCAAGGATAACAAATCATTGGTAGACCCCTACAGCCGCAGAGCATCACAAAGATGTTGGGGGTCAGTCTCTACTATTTTTCAGATTCTTAGCTTGAAAAGGGTTCAAGTGTTCTGATTCTCCCAGACAATCAGAGCTTTAGGGACCCACACCGTTATTTTGGGGTGCATGCTCAAGCCCACTGGACATTCAGCACACACTTATGGTCACCATTGTGTGACAAATACCACACTAAGTGCTGTGGGGGTGCTAGAGGCACCTCTCACCACACCAGAGAAGTGTTACCATTATTAAACAGCCCCCTGAGTCAGTGTGTGTGTGTGTGTGGGGGGGGGGGGGCTGTTCCCAACCTTAATCCTTTTCTTCTTATATAAATTAATTTATAAGAGAGACCTTGCCTGTGCTGTGAAAAGCCAATTTATTAAAGCATGCACCATTATTGAAAAAGCAAAGCAAGCAAACACCCTATACATCTGGCTTATGAAGTGCAGACAGGTTCTCAGTGAATCTGAAGAGCTAGTTGGGTAGGGGCGGGGGAGGGGGGGGTCTATAAGTTTCAAAATTCCTTTGCTGAATATTTTGGTACAGATTCATTCTCAAGGTGACCATTTTTCCTTTGTTGTGGCGTCCCCAGAATTCATGAGAAGCTCCTGGCAACTTTATCTTGCTAAACCTTGGGACTGCTGGCTTCTCTGCTTTGGGGAGAAATCTGCCCTTTTTCCCTTTCCCCTTTCCCACTCCCTCACTGCATTCTCATTAGGGAGGTTTTTAACCGTTTGCTCTTAGGTGTCCTTGGCTGGGGGAGATAATATTAGTTACACGCCGGCTGTGGGTGGCCCTCATCGTTTGGCCTTGTTTTAACTTTCCCTATTCCTGGAATCCTGTAAGGAGGGGCAGGGCGGGCTTAAAAGAAGAAACAAAGCATTTCCGGGGAGGGGGGAGAGGGGGTCCTATGGTAGGTGCTTTTCACATAGGTTTTCTCATTTTAAGTGAACAAATATGTCTCCAATCCCCCAGTGATGGAGGAAGATCTATCCAGTTTACCACAAAATTTGGTAAATTCTATAATAAAGATATAACCTTAGAGAAGGGTGCCAAGATAATGCAATGAAGAAGGAACTACCTTTACAAATGGATATTCACAAGCAAAATAATGGATTCAAACCTCTATATCACATCAAAATTTTTAAAAAAGAAAAGAAAGGGACACTAAAAAAAAAATTAAAAAAAAAATCATAGATATAAATGTAAGGGCTAGAACGATAAAGCTCTTCAAAGAAAACATTAAATCTCTGTGACTTTGGGTTAGATGATGACACCAAAATGTAAAAGTGACAAAAGAAAAAATAAATTGAAACTCGCCAAAAATTATAAATGTACACCTCAAAGAACATCATCAAGAAAAGGAAAAGACAACCCTCAGAGTATGAAAAAATACTTGAAATTATATATTTTATAAGGCAGTTGTATATAGAATATATAAAGAGTTATATGTACAACTAAACAATTTTTTTTTAATTAGCCCAATTTAAAAATTGAGATTCTCTAAAGAAGATATACAAAAGCCAGTAGAATATGAAAATATCCTCAATATCATTAGGGAAATGTAAATCTAAAACCTCAGTGAGATACCACTTTACACTAAATAGATGGATAAAATAAAATGGAGAAATTTCAGTCTTTATACATGACTAGTGGGAAGGTAAAACAGTGCTGCCATTTTAGAAAATAGTTTGCAGTTCTCAAAAAGTTAAATATAAATTTTCCATGTAATGTGGCAGTTCTACTCAGAGGTATATATCCAAGAGAAATGAAAATATATCCACACAAAAATTTGTACATGAATACTGACAGTGGCATTATTCATCATAGCCAAAAAGTGGACACAATCAATTATTGAATGGATAAACAAATAGTGGCATATCCATACAGTGGAATATTATTTAGCCATAAAAAAGAATGAAGCACTGACATGTGCTACATAGGTGAACCTTGAGAACATTATCTGGCTAAGTTAAAGAAGCCAGAGACCAAAATCTGTGATGAAGTGTGATTCTGTTTCTATGAAACGTCCAGAATAGGATAATCCATAAAGACAAAAAGGAGTTTAGGGGTTGCTGGGTGCAGAGGATAATGGGGAGCTATAGCTAATAGGTACAGGATTTCTCTTTGAAGTGATAAACACTATAAAATCAGAGTTGCACAACTCTGAATATACTAAAGGATGAATTTTATGGTATGTAAATTATATGTCAATAGAGCTGTTATTTAGGGGGGAGAGAAGTATAACCTACTCCCTGTGAAGCAAGAAAACAAAGACTAAGGAGAGGACTTCGCTCTGAAGTCACTATATTTAAGTAGAGAAACCAGGTAGGCATTACAAGCAATGACAATTTAATCATATGAAAGAAAATCAAAGGTGTGGCCGACAAGCAACCAAATA